CCGACCCATAAAAGTAAACACAAACTTTCACCAATTATTTATATATACTCCCTCAGTTTATTCAAAATTCAAATTATTTTGGCTAAAAGCACAGAATTTAAGCAATTATTTTTCTTTTAAAAAACATTATTTAATATATATAATAAAAATCTTTGGTCCCTAGTGGAGTCCCATTTTATTTTAGAGATGGGCATTATTTGTATCCACCGGGGAGGGATTCATTTCCCTATACATCGGTATATGCAAATATAGACTTTATGTTCTGGAAGATTTTGACATGGGATACTTTTAATGGGGAGAGCAAGTTATTTTCCTGGCACATGTGGTATATTTGGAAATCATAAAATAAAATATATTTTCGGGGGATCGACTATGAATCACCAGATATTTTTTCAATTGGCAGAAAGTGAATTTGAGGCATTGACGGATGCTCAACTTATTCCATCGGAGATACTAACCCATGCATGGGAGACAACCCAGGCCGTGGTCTGGCCATCGACTCATATATGCTCCCAAATTGATGGTTCATGGAATGAGACAAATTCGACCTTAGGGTTAGGATGAACTGTTCTCGAGGGGAGCAAATAGTGTTATTAGATGCGCACGACTTGAGACATTAGATGTTCTCATTGCATTCAGATATGGAAACTCTAATTTGGATGATATCATGTATACTAGAAAGAGGGATAGAGTGCCATGAATTTGAGACAGACTGTTCAAATCTGATAAATATCGTCCTGTATCGGGAGGAGTGGCCTGCGTTTACTATTTTGACAGCTAAGTTCAAGGAGCTGCAAGATCATTTTTCTCGGTTTTCTTTATCTTTAATTTTTAACTCCCCTAATTTAAAAGCGGACTGTTTGTCCCGCTCTGCACGTTCTATAGGTCCTGTTTTTTCATTTGTAAGTAGTTTTTCGCTTGATTGGATTACCAATTATGGGGGCATATTGTAATTAATACTTTGACTGACAAAAAAGAAGAATATATATATAATAAAAATCATTTAATCAATCATAAAATAGACTGCAAAATACCAATAGTTACACAATATTCAATAAATTTAAAAAAATATATAGGATTGTCAAAACAAGTTATATTTTGAAACACAAAAAAAAAACTTAAAAAAAACTTATATTTTGAAACGGAGGGAGTATTTCTTTAAAAAGTTCTCATTACTATGTGAAAATTCCTTAATCTGATTATAGGGTTGGGTACAGAGAGATATCCACAAAAATATAGTATTGTAATTCAATTTGTTTTTGTCGGATATCTAGTTTTTTCGATTTGCTTTGTTTTGAAAATTTCTGATATCCGGAATTGCAGATTTTTAAATTTTTTTCGAATATTTGGGAAATATCCGGATATGCATGGATATCCATTTCAAACAAAAAAAAATTATATTTTTATTAAAAAATATTTTAGTATAATATTTAAACTAACTAATGAATAAATATTTGAAAATATCTAATTTTATTCGATAAAATTAAAAAAATGGAAGATTAAATGGAGAAGATTGAAAATAAATAATAAATAATAAGAACTAAAATATATTTCAACTAAAAGCTAGTATCTACATATTTTTACTATAAATATCTTCACCAAATGTATTTAAAAAGTCTAAAAATGTAAATATACGTTATAAATCGACCATATTATATGTATATATAAGTAATATAGGGATCAGAGTGGATATTCAAATTTTTAAAATTAGTATTTGTGATTTGCTTATACAGAATTAGAAGATCAAAGACGTGATCCTCTAATTGACAAAGTTACGGATGGGCAAAGAGTGATCGAGCCTAGTTCTTAAATGGACACGATATTTTAGCTACTTCCATTGGAGAAAATATTTCTCCATATCTTGAAAACGAAGAGCTGTCGGATTTGAAGACAAATCTTTTTGAACCCGGAGGGAATGATACGGGAGCATATGCGCAATCAAAGAAGAATTATGGGCTCCCTACCTA